TCAGAATTGGACGATTTATATGTCATTCGAAAGAGCTCGTCGAGCTGAGTCGAATGACACCAAAATTTTTCAGCGGAAAAAATTCTGAGCCGAGTTACAGACCCCTAAAGTTCAAAAAACCATAGGGGGGACCAAGCTGTTTTCTGGGGGTGAAAAATTCGAAAATGCAAATTATACCTCATTCGAAAGAGCTCATCGAGCTGAGTCGAATGACACCAAAATCAACAAAATCAGACGTCATTTGACAAAGTTATGACCGTTTGTTTTAGCCCCTTCCACAAGGGTTTCGCGGAAAAAAGTTTTTGCCGCTGCGGAGGAAGCCGGGCATGTCGAGCGGAACGACGGCCGCCGCTTCGCTACGGTCGCCGCAAGCGAAGCGAGCACGACCGTAGCGAAGCACGGCCATCGTGTAGCGAAGACCATGCCCGGCTTACCCTCCGTAGCAGCACAAAAACAGTTTTTCCAGCGAAGATTCTGTTGGTCATAACTTTGTCAGAAATCATCCAATCGAGCTGATTTTGATGTCATTCGACTCAGCTCGACGAGCTCTTTCGAATGAGCTATTATTTGCATATTCGAATTTTTTACCCCAAAAAAGTGCTTACTCCCCCCTATGGTTTTTGACCATTTCGAGCCCTATATCTCGGCTCCGAATCTTTTCCGCGGAAAAATTTTGGTGCCATTCGACTCAGCTCGCCGAGCTCTTTCGAATGACATATAAATCGTCCAATTCTGAGCCTGATCCGGAAACTGTAGTTAGGCCAATTCTCCTTCATTTAATCAAATTTTTCCCCACCTGCGTTTATATATTTTTTACTTAGGTTTTGGCCTATAAAATTCAATTTAACTTTCTGGCCAAACTTAAGTTTATTATTTTCCACCTAATGTCTAAATATTTCTAATTAGGTATTTCAACTTATTCTAAATTTCTACATCTTTATGCCTCTCATAATCTCATATTAAATTAACTAAAATTGAGGCCTAAAGAACTTCTTTACACACTAATAGGCCTTTTTACTCATTTACTCTTTTTTGGTCTATAAGCTTTTTATTCTATTTTTCACACATTTATATTATGGGTTAATTACCCAAGTTTGAGTTTAAGGTTCTCGTAAATAAATATTTTAAATTGTGTTTTTTCTTTGCTTATTTGGTATTCCGACAATTGCCGCCCTTAGGCATTATTTTTAGCTCGCCAATAGAGCTTTGGTTCCGTCCACTCGCCCTAGAGAGTTGGATCACATTTTTGGAGAATTAAGGGAATTCCCGGGACAATCAATTTCAATTCCCGACAGTGCGGTTTCACACCATGTCGCGCCGCACACCGAATTTATTTTCTTAAGCGACATCAAGCTGATTTTTGGGGTTAAAATCGAATATAAAATTGTAGCTAATTCGAAAGTGCTCTTCGAGCTAAGTTGATGATTTCTGAAAGTTCTGTAACCTATTCCTTTTTACCGAACTTCAGCCATTAAATGCAAACTTAACCTCCGTAGCATGCCAGAAAATGTTAATTGAACAAAAATGCAGTTGCTTGTAACTTTATCAGAACCGATTTATCTCGTCGAGCTCTTTCGAAAGGCATTTTGTTTGTCCATATTGGATTATGGAAGATGTAGCGGAATTTTACCTCCTTCAATTTTATTAACTTCCATTTTCAACAAATTTATTTTAACACTTCCATCCTCGTTTTTATTATTTTCTGTAGATTCAACCAAAATTCGTTGATTATTTTTATAATTAGAAAAAGAACAATCAAAAAATATTAAAAATAATATTTTAGAAATAAATAAAAATTTAATTAAAAACATTTTTTAAAAATTTATTTTTAATTTTAGTTGATAGATTCCTTCGTGTTTTATACTAAAGTGTGAAGCAAAATTTGTTTTTACCAATAATAAATTATTTCTTAATTGCACTTTAAGGACATTATTAAATAATGATAAATAAATATATTATTTCTTAATAAGAATCTTCCGACAAATTAGTATATTCATTTATCCACTAACATACATGTGAAAATTTTTTTATTAATTTTGTCGGAATCCTTTTAAAATTATTAAGAAATAAATATTTGTTTATCTAAATTTTAATAATGCACTTAAAGTACAATTACAAAATACTTTCCGTAACAAAATACTTTCCGTAACTTTCCAAAATACTTTCCGATCGAGATACGAGAGGATGATTTCTTAATCGCCCTCATACTCCTCCTTTCTTTAACTAGGAGTAAAATTTTGGCTTGAGCAGTTGAGCCACAAAATTTAATCCATTAATTTTTCCAATTATTTATTAATACAATTTCATTCCGACAGGAATTCTTTCAGATAGTTAAATAAAACTCGAGCCAAATTTTAGAAGCAAATATCCAATGAATTTGTTGCTAAAATTGTTGATTAATGAGCGAAGTTATTATCTTATTGTTGAGCCTCTTAAAAAATGAGAAAACTTATATTTGATTATGAGATAGTGATCAGGGATGAAATAGAAGGTAAATGTCCATAACAGACGCAGGCTGTTGTAACTGAATGCAAAATCTAAAGCCAAATCTTTAAGAATTAACTAATAAATAATTATATTATATGCCTTTACAGACATGCCAAAACAAGTCTACAACTGCATGTATACTAAAAAAATTAAGTCACGTGCCAATTTTTAAAAATATTTATCTATATATAATAGTAAAAAGGCAGTCAGCTAAAAAAAAGTCCCCAGAGCTTTTGAGTGGGCGTATCGGGGTGGGGTTTTTTGCTATAGATGCGCAATACTATGTAGTTTTCAGGAAAACCTCCAAAAGTTGGGGGAAAGGGGCGAGTTTTTTAGATATTTTGAAAAAACGTGTTTTTTCGTATCTTTGAAGTGAAATTTGAGATGAAAGATGAAGTCGGGGGAAGTTGGGTCAGTTACAAGGTTGAAGCACCACAACATGGAGAATATGATAGAAAAAGAGTTGAAGTCGTTCTGACATCGGGAAGGGTAGATGTGCCTGTTGACAACTTTTTTGTCATAGTGGTAACTTTGGATTTAAGGTGTTTAGAGGGGTGGGAGCAAAAAGTGGTTGGGAGAAAAGTTGTAGAGCGTAGTGGAGTTCTTAAGAAAAAAGTTGGTTTCAAGTTGATTGGAATAACTTAAAAAAAGATATGGAGTAAAAATTTAAATTTTAAGGAGGTTGCATAAAAGTGACATTAACTTTATTTTGTTTTGGAGTTAGAAGAAAAGTGTTGGGAGATGAAAGATAGAGAATTTATTTCTGCATCGAATAAGCTTTGTTTTATAATTTTTGGGCTTTTTTGGCCCAAGTTATAATTTTTTTAAGAAATTAAAATTTTGGGAAAAAATTTTTAAATTTGACGATCTAGACCGTCCGATCTGGAAAGTTAAGCAACGCTGAGCTGTTTTTTGTAACTTTTGAAGTAGTTATCGAAAAAATATGATTGAGGTGTCATTCGACGCGGAAAAATCAGGCGAATTTTTTAAAAATATTTTTGAAAGGGTCACTTGAGTCTGAGTGTGGTATATTTGAGTCTGAAGGCTAAAATCAGTTGAAATTAATTTAAAAAATTTTAAAAATTAATGGGAATATTAAAAAATAACTTTTTAAGAAAAAGGACACTTGAGTCTCATTTTTAAATTTGAGTCTGAGAATGAAAATTTTGTAAAAATGCTAATTTTTAATACTTTTCTGAAAAATAATTTTAATGTTGTATCGCTATGCCTTGAACGCGTTGCCGAAAGCAACCGCCAGACTTAAAAATTATTTTTTGAAGAAATCGGAACGCGTTGCAGAAAACGCGTTGCCGGAGGCAACCGCCAGACTTTAAAATTATTTCTTAAATGGTTGAGGTGTCATTCGATGGGGAATTGAATGAGGAGTTGAATGAAGATATTTTTAAGAGTGTCACTTGAGTCTGAGGGTTGGACATTTGAGTGTGAAGTTTTCAAATATTGGGAAATTGATCCAAATTAATTTAAATTAGTTGTAATAACGCTGGAGTCAGCTTTTATACCCAAAAGCAATCAAACCGGCTCAGCCATTCGCGCCGAACGCTGGTTTTAATTATGCTTTAGGGATTTGAAATAAAAACACACTAAGGTCCGTGTCCATAATGTGTAAAATAAACTAACAAATCTTTCTATTTTATTTAAAATCCCTAAAGTATAATTAAAAATATTATTAAAATTTTCTAGAATCATTTTTTAATTATACACGCAGGTGTACTTTTGTTTTTATTTGAATTTTAAATTGTTGCCTTCTACGTTTTTGCCTTTTTTTGCCTTTTAAAAATCAAATAAAAACAAAAAAATTTTTTAATAACAAATAATATTTGATAAAAAGTACACCTGCGTGTACACTGTGTCAGAAAATTATTAGCACGCCCTAGTTTTAAATAAAAAAAACAGATAAATTTAAAACTAAAAAATAGCAAGTCTCAAGACAATTTTTTCTATTAAAAATATTTTTATGATTTTAAAGCAAACAAACATTTGTCTTTTGAAAATTTTATAATAATAACACAATTTAATATACATAATTATAAAATACTTTTTATTTATCAATTTATAATTAAACAAGAAATGAAAAATGACATTTGTAAAATTAATTTAAAGGCATAGAAATTATAAAATAAATTTAGATAAACGAAAATTTTTTAAAAATTTAGAAATTTTTATAAGAAAGTTAATAAAAATGGATTTGTATTTTTTCCATCATGATGAATATGAGCGCCTTTACAATTGTAGTATGTCGACCAAATCCCTTTAGAAAAACGTCAACATAAATTACTTGCAATTTTTGTTGTTATTTTGTCCACAATATATGAGGTAAGCAAAAAATCTGAGTTCCTGGGCGAGGACCAAGACGAGGTTTCGAAGCCCTAGGTATAGTTTCGAAGCCCTAGGTAGAGTTTGAGAAATCGGCGATGTCCTCGGCGAGGCCTCGACCTACTTTAATCCATTTGAAGATTAAATTATTAAATACCTAGATTCTCTATATTCCTTGTATGTTTTCAATTTGGAAGCGAATGGCAAACAGTCATTGTTACAAAATAATGTTCGCTATTGGAGTTATTGATATGGCAGCAATTTTGTGTGCCGGATTTTTAACTGGATATTTGGGATATTTTGGATATGTTTTTTGTTCTTCACCAAAATTTATTTATTTTGTTGGAGCATATGGATTTTGTTTGTGTTTTTAATTATTAAATGATATTTAATTATTAGTTTGCTGGTCAGCTGAAACTATAATGGAAGTAATTTTAGCTATAAATCGTTGCATTGAAATATTATCTTCTGAATTGGCTGAAAAATTTTTTGGCGGTTGAAAAATAATTTTATTTAAGAAATTTCTAATTTTTCCCTATATTTAATTAAAAGGTAAAAAATTGCTTTTTTGGCTTGGCATTCCAATAATATACGGTCTATCTATAATAACTTGGTCAAAACCAGTCATATTCACCGGCATCTACTTTAGCTGGTTCCTCAATCCGCACGTTGGATATATTGATGATGTTAATCAAGTATTTGTTTGAATATTTGTTTAAACTATTTAATTTGTTAAAAGGAATATGAGAACACTCTTCTAGCATTTCACAATCCATTAATTATATTTTTTCTGTTAATTACGTACTTAACGTTTTTTATAATTTTTGTAATAAAATCCAAACAAGGAGGATTTGAATCAAATCAACAAAGCTACTCAGAAATAATGGTTTTTTAAATTAAATATAGTCACAATCCTAAATTTCAGATTTTTCTTCAAATCTTTTTGATTAGCTTATTTAATAGTAGTGCCGCTTTTATTTACGTTTATATGCAATATATCCACGTTAATGAAGTTGTTATTATAATTGGACAAATATGCTGGTTAAATGCACACGGTGGAAAATATTTTCTTTATAATACTTCTAATTAAATTAGAGTTATTATTATTGTTGGTTTCATGTTCGACGTCCTAATTTCATAACTTTCTTTTTCATACTTAATCCGAGAACTCTTAGTTTCAGTTACATACTTGCTCAATTCGGTTACCGAACAGAAAACGGTGGATAATTTAAAGCCACGTTACAATAACTCTTTAAAAAGTCTAACTATTAATGCCAAAATACATAAGGCTACCCTATATTTCATGCAAACCATATCTTAGTAATAAGCAGGTGTTCCGCAATGTAGAATACCTTTTGGAATACACCGCGCTTCGCGCAGTGTAATGCGGGACGTGTCTCTAGTGATAAACGGTTGCTAGGTCTTGTCCCAAGTTACGTAAACCTGTTCCTAGCAGAGAGGTCTTTATTTTTATTGATGAACTTAAATGTAGAGACACGCCATCTAATAATAAGATTAATTATTTTAGGAATTCCTCCTGTCATATACTTAACAATGAACAAGTCAATTCAACGCGATTGTTACAGAATATTAAAAAAGTGTATCAGTTCTACAATTCAAAGCTACAAAAATCTACACTCAAATGCTGTCCAACCTTTAAGTCGTCAAATGAATTTTGAAAGGGAAGATAATCAAGTAAACATGCAAAATTAACGAATTAATAAAAATTGAATTTAACAAACTAAAAACATTCACGTTTTCATTCTAAGAACAAAAACACCGTTTCAATCCAATCACTTGTTAAGACAAATATATTGAAATGATAGCGATAGTGCTCGCCCTCAGGCGAGCTACTCCGCTAGCCTAATCTAAATCATAACAAAACTTAAGTCAATTCAACTCTTTTCCGGACTTACTTTTCCTTTTATGAAAACTTTTTCCTTTTCATTGACTCTCCTATGAAACACACTTGATCTATCTAATTCATCTAAAACATAAAAAAACGTTTAAACCTTTATATTTCAATAAATATAGCATAAACTTTAAAAACGTTAAAAAATTTGAAAAAAACAATTAAAAACATACATAAGTATTTAGGGAAGATAGCAAAACAAATTTTGAAATATTGTATGATCTGAAAATAATTCTATGTAGTATTATGAACAAATTTTACAACATTCCCGCATTCTGTTGCTAGCTTGCGAAAAACATTGCTCAAATAATTTTGTTTTTAAATAAAATAATAATCTCATACCTTCATCTTGTTTGTCTTTTCCATTTTCAAAACTTGATAGTTTTAAATTTGATGTTGATAATCGTCGAAACTCCATAGTTTTTAGTTAAATGTTGATAATTTCTTCAAAACTTGATAGCTGCTCAATATAAATATCAGAGCTTAAAAAACTTATATTACCTTCATCGTCTCACCATGTTCATAAAAGTATCAGTAAATCCAAACATTAATCCAATCCAATCAGTTTCTTCATGAACTAACTCTTAACTAACTTTTAATTTTCAACTTTCAATTTTAATTATGATTATAGTAAATAAGTTTACAATTTTCAACTTTTCAATTTTCTATTTTCAATTTTCAACTTTCAATTTTCAACTTTCAATTTTCAACTATCAATTCTGAAGAATTTACAAAATCTTGAATTACCTCTGGCATCCCGACATGTCTAGAACTGTACCCTCCAAATATTAGACACATCCGAGATCTACTATGCAAAGCTACAAGTTACGCTTTATTAGACAATTTAGAAGAATTGATTAAAGAATCCTTTTTCCTTTCTGAAGAAATTAAAAATCGTTACAATTATATGGTTCAGTTGATTAAATTTGGCATGGAAGCGGTAGAGGATAATCCTCAAGTTTCAGTTACTGGAACAGGCAAAGTTTATAAAACATTCTACGAAGGAAAACTCATGTATAAGCGTCCTTATAAGATTATGAAAACAAATAATGCTCAAATATTTGAGAATGAGACAAATTTACAAATTAACTCAAACACACCTATGGCAATTGTAGAATTAATTGAAGAAGTTAAAATTGAAAGAGAAGAAATGAAAGAGATGAATGTTGAGGAATTTAATTTAAAATGGAAAGAAGCAATTAATGACGAACTGAAATATAAATATGATAGAGAAGTGAATAATAAATTAGAAGAGATAAAAAATGAACAAAGGAAAATTTTGGGAGAAGAATTTTAAGAGTTAAATGAGAAATATGAGAAACTCGGAAGAAAATAAAAGAAATCGAGAAACGTAACAATTTAGAAGAATTAAAAAACTTGAATGAAAAACGAAACAAAAGAGTTGAAATATGGAGGACAATAAGAGAAATAAAAAACGGCAGCATTAAAGAATTGAAAGAGAAATTAGAAGAGGTAAGCTACAATCAAGAGAAAGTATATGAAGAAAAATTAAAAAAGATGAAGTTTGAGAATGATAAATTACTTGGCGAAAGTCAATTTAACATAGAAGATGAACGTGAAAAATTGCAGGGAAAATATGATGATTTTATTTTTTAATTAAAAGATAGATGGTTTAGAACTCTTTTTTATCATGTATTTGATAAAGAATACAAAGATGAAGACAAAAAGAAGTTAGTAATTGTTAGTGATAGCATTTAAAAAACGGTAGTGTTGAGCGGGCCTGTAAAAGTGTAAATTCTCTAAATTGTTTAAAATCAAACGATAACCTTAACCAAAAAATATATTTCATGTTATAACTAAGCCTTAATTTTAAATATTTAAACAGCATTACAACAGCAGAAACTGTATAAGTACCGGGAGTCAACATTATTTTAAAAATTGTTTTATATTAAAATGTGAAATGTCCCAATATATCCTTATTTTAATTTTTTTATTCTACAAGCATAACCGCAAGGACTCAACATTGTTGACCGTTGAGATCCACATTATTTATCTTTTGAATTGTATTCTTTTTGGAGTTGGATAAATTGAAACTATTTAATTTTATTAATTACACGGGTGACTGATTTTTTAAGATAAATTTCAAATATTCCTAAAATTTTCAAAGATGTTTTTTGCAAATGAAAGATGTTTTATATTTATTAAGTGAGTTTCCATCCTGTTTCCTTCCATTCAGCGCCACAGGCGAAAATTTTGAGAATTTAAGCCAACTATTTTTTTCTTAATTCTTTTCAGTTTTTAATTTTTTAATTTTTTATTACATTTTCTAATCTAGTTTTATGATTATTTTTAATTTTCTAAAATATTATTCTAATTAATTTATACGTGTTGGACTGTGTAGAAGACGGAAGTGTAGATATCATATATGAAACGAGTAATTTATTTATAATTAAAATTTTTTATTTGTTTTTATTAAATTTGTTTATGATTGTTTCTGGAATTTATTTTTTGAAGAGTTTGCATTTAAAAATTTTTTCAAAGTTTTTACTAACAATATTTTAAAATTTGTAACTAAATTTTTATACATATCTAAAAATAAAATTTATAAAATGTTGAATAAAATAAAAAACATAGTTTTTAATAGGGTTGTCAGTAAAGTAGCTGAGGACCTTTTTAAATCGAAAATATGTTAGTTATAATTAAAAAGATTTCTATAAACTTCAAAAACTAGAAAAATTAGTTACTAAACTGACACCATATTTTTAAATAAATAATGGTTGAAAAAAACAAATTTTTAAATGTTGTTTTAAATTTTAGTTTAGTTATACAATCGGTTTCTTTGTAGTTTTGATTTTTTTGAATTTTTGCATTTTTTGTAATTTTTTTGTAAATTTTTTAAATTTATAGTGGTTTTAAATATATTTTTGTTTTTTTTATTTTTTTTGCTTTCATTTTATACATTTTTTATTTTAACTCGGGCTTTTTCATCGCTTCCAATAACATGTCTGTTAAATCCTTTTGCTCGCTGCTTTCTTTGTATATTTTAATAGCATAAACTGCATTATCAACATTGAGAAAACCTTAAAAAGATTAAATAAAAATCTTAATATAAGTTATCTTTAATTTTACAAAGACATTTATAATCAAGTCAATAGACAAGTCCAGACCATTGCTTACAGAAAGGAAAAAAAGAGAAAAAGAAATAAAGCTGAGAAAAATCTCGCGATGGCTTTAGGGTCAAAAAATGGATATTGGGTACCGCCTATTCCTTCACTCCTTGAAAATTCTAAACACCAGTTCCGCCGGTTGAGAAGGTGCCTTCCCGCTGAAATAATAAAAATGCGATTATTTAAGTTATTTTTCTCATTTTTATCCCCGAAAACTTGCCTCCACTCATATCTTCATCGTTTATATTCACAAAAATTGCCGAATCTTTTTTTCTTTTAAATAATTTTATTGCATTTTCTTTTCCATAACTTTTTAACAAAAATAATTTTGTAAATAAATTGTTTTTTTCAAAATAAAGAATTTGTTCTTCTTGTTTATCCTTTATTATTTGTATATTATTGCTACTACTTGCTTCTCCCTTTTCTTTTTCTTTACTTAATTTAATTATCACCTTCTTTTTGTCCCCATTTATACATTCAAGTACATGATAAAAAATTACTTCAAACCATCTTTCTTTTAATTCAACAATAAAATCATCATATTTTTCCAACATCTTTTCATGTTCTTCTTTAATGTTTAACAGCCCTTTTTCAAATAATTTATCATTTTTTATTTTTATATTCTCAATCTTTTCATTCAATAATTGTTTCTGTTTGTTTTGTGTCTCCTCTAATTCATTACGCATATTTTCATTGTTTTCATATTCTATTCCGATACCTCCTCCGTATCTTCTTTTTATTCGTCTTAACTTTTCATTAACTTTATTTTTATGTTCATAATTTACTTCTTCAATAATTGCTTCATGCCATCTTTGCTTAAATTCCTTATCACTCATCTCTTCCAATTCTTCCCTTTCATTTTTAACTTCTTCAATTAATTCAACAATTGCCATAGGTGTTTCTGAATCAAGTTGTATTGTCGTCTCTGTCTCAAATATTTTGACAGAAATATTTTCATTTGGGTGGTCATCATACCAAAGTCTTCCTTCTGATGTTATCTTATAAACTTTGCCTGTTTTAGTCAAAGGAATTTGAGAATTATCATTTACTTCATCCATCCCATAGTAAATCAACTGAACCAAATAAAAATAACGATTTCTAATATTTTGAGTAAGGAAAAATGCTTTTTTAGTCAATTGATTTAAATTGTTTAAATGGACATCCATTGAATCCAG